TGTGGGGCAGCTGCCCCCTCTAACATAAAAAAAAAACGACGGGTTGCACTCCGGGAGTGCCGCCAGAAGTGAAAACTTGAATATTAACGTTGTGCATTTTTGATATTTGGATTTGAATGGTTTAATTATTTTAATTGCTTTAATTGTCAGTATAAAAGTACTATCATTTATGTGGTAGAATACAATATTTATTTATTGCGCTATCGTACACAAACATGACAATTTATCGAGACGCTGTCACCATCCATGGATGCGCGTGGTACGCTGTAACATAAACACACACGAACATTCGCGCAAGCGCCCTGCGAGGCCTAAACGAAACAGCAGGCGCAAGCATATATTTTCGCCGCGCCTTAGAAAAAGAGGGGGATACTTCCTCTCCTACGCCGCGCCGGCTGTCTCCGTCCGTCTTACGAATTTTGGATCAGGTCACGTGTCCTGACGCGAGTTTAACATTTTTTACCCATTACAAAAAAAGTGTACAACGCCGCTAAATAAGTTTTCACTTCAAAAAAAGAAGTACACAAAGCCTAAAATCTATAGTTCTGAACAACATGGGCTATAGAGTTAAAAATTGTGTAAAAAACGGATAACTATTAATATAGAGATCCACCATATACTTTAATCTGTCATATTAGAGAAGTCTATAAAATGACGGTTCAAGTTACAGTGTTTATTGAAATAAAATAAAAGAAAACTAATATGGACCGCCAGATAATCTCTAGCACATAGATGTTTGGCTAACGAATACTCAAGAGCTACCACTATAAACATATCGTATTACTTCACGATTGGACGGAATGTTACTTACATAAGGAATGTGTGGAGGAATTCTGTAAGGGTCGGATTTAGACGAGTCCATTTAAATTGTTATTGCCACCTTGTAACAGGTTTTAACTTAATGTAAATGTACTGTATATATTTATTTATTTTCTTTTGTTGAATCAAATCAGAAAAAATATTGGAAGACTCATTTAGTCCATTATTATTCTTTATAATAAGATACTTTGTACTTCACACTGTCACTTAAAAACTTATCACTAAATAAAATCATCGCATAGAGAAACACAGACAGAAGTGACCGGACATAAAAATTCTAACATGCAAACAAACTAAATACTGCGAATTGCCATGACAAATCAGAAATATACAAAACATACAATTCAAAACTATTCCTGATGAAAAAATAACAAGTTTGTTTAGTAGCTGAAGCACTTGGTCAATAAACAAAGCTACAAAACCGACACGCTGATTCAGACAAAAACAAAACATAAAACTATCATCTATTATGTTTCATTCTAACCGCACTAGATATATATTGACTGATATAGTTTTAGGATCAGCCAATATAGTTTTAGGATTGATTAAATTTAATTTGAATTGAATAAGTACTGACCGAGTTTCGGGAGCTACCCTCAACAGACAAACTTGTATGAATTATTGCCTCTACTTTAATTCAATTAATCAACTTTCATCTCAAACTATTTGTAAAAGTCTTTCATATGTTTCATGTTGTTCAGTGTTAACTTAGAAAGATTTTCTTTGAGGCATTTAACTAAATGGATTCCTGTAACCTCTCTTCTTCTTTTTAAATTGATCTTTCAGTAGCCCTTTTAGGTTTCTGCATTGATTCATCAGGCATTTCCTATTATTAAGGCATTACAACCTTTTTTTTTAGGATTCTCTGTTTCTACTGTGCGAGAAAACATGTTTTTTTCCAAGGTCAACTTAAGCTTTTTTTTTTGTTTTCAAATATTCTTTTGATATTTTAAACCAAAAATTACCATTGATAACCATATCACCAAGTAAGGTCGGTAAGAAGACTGTTATAACTGACCTTAAAGAAAGAGTTATTCTTCTTTTTCGGATATTATTTTAATATTTTTCACCATAAGTTACCATTAATAACAATATCGCCAACTCGGGAGAAAATTCTTCTTGTTTGATGTCGGTAAGAAGACGGATGTAACCGAACTTAAAGAAAGAGTTATTCTTCTTTTTCGTGTATTATTTTATTGATATTTTTCACCAAAAATTACCATTGATAAACATATCACCGAGTAGGGAGAAAACTCTTTTTGTTTGAGGTCGGTAAGAACACGGTTGTAGCTGACCTTAAAGAAAGAATTATTCTTCTTCTTCGGATATTCTTTTGATATTTTTAACTAAAAATTACCATTAACAACCATATCATCAAGTAGGGAGAAAACTCTTTCTATTTAAGGTTAGTAACAAGATGGTTGTGGTCAACCTCAAAGAAAAAGTTTTCTGCCCGGGAGATATTTTAAGTAACAACTACATATATATATATATATTTTAATTTATTCATTTCTCATCGAGTAACAAAACTCATAGTGTTAGTAACAATTTATTATATATATAATATATTTTATAGTATTTTTCAATAAACCTGTTTGTGGTTTTTTGTGTAACATCGTTAGATTTTAGCCGGTTACCACATACCACTCTACCGCTGGCCTCATGATCCTCACGGTACACGATAAAAAAATGTATTACTTCTCTGAATCACAAACAATTGAAATATTTATACGAATATTAACTTTAAGGAAATCGAAGTTTTAATGAAATTTATATCAGTGACATAGATGATGATAAAATGTCTAGTGGCGAAAAGTTAAAAGTTTTAAATAAAATGCGTTTCCTACATTTATGGTCACTTTTTCCTACACATTCCTACACATTTTGCAAACTTTAACAGCAGAGTAACCTCCGTTTTATTTGTTCATTTTTCTGTCTGAGTTTCAGATACACGTATTGTAGTTTGTGAGTTAAATTTTTCAATAAAAGCTTGCCCGGCCAGTCCTTTTGCCCAGGACGGGCTAGCTTTTATTAAAAACTTTAGTGCTATTAACAAATGTGTTATTTATAAATATGGTATTTGTATCTTGCTCAGTTGTTATACGTAATATAAAACCATTTGAGATCTGAGATCGAACCTGTTATTTTGATCTTTATTTCTTACTAGCGATCCACTCCGACATTGCACGGGTGAAATGTAGATACTACTAATACTACTAATGTGTTGTCAGTGTGGAGTAATTAATTATACTGCTATTATGATGGTGATATACTACAGGACATCTTTAAATGCGAAATTTTTAAAACTCTAATATCTATTAAAATATTCATTTAGGAATACTCATGTATTGCCTAAAATAGCTTCGTAAATACTCCTTTATTTTTTTGTAATATTAAAACATAAAAATGGTTACTGTAAGTTATCCTTAGGAGATAGACATATAGCATTGCGGACTTTTTTATAGATGTAGATGGTCTGTCTCGTAAGGTTTAGCCAGCGTTTGTACGCGCACAAAAACACGTTTTTACAACAAATCTTTGAAATTCTCCGATTTTCTCTACTATGATAAGCATATATTATACATATATACCATACCATACCTTCCTTTTGAATCACCATTTTGCGTGCCATAAAAAAAAAGATTTTATAATTAAACAAACAAAACATATATACGCACACACTCAACATTTATGTGATATAACTCAATTAAAATTTTTATTTATAGCTTAAATAGCCTTATACAAAACATTGTAAAACAATCAGCTCACACACGAACAGTTACAAGCCATGTGTACTCAATAAAGGTACGTTGTCAGTCCAAGTTATTTACCCTTCACTTGTAAAACCACAACCCTCTGACTTGTTGCTAATGAAACACCTGGCGCAATGTATATGTTACAGTCAGAACTCTTAACCGTTCAAAAATAGTTTTTACCGGGCAAATCAGTTCAAAGTACTTTTGACCGCAACATCATACTGTTATAACCCCATCTTATCCAAATAATTCACCAAGAATAGAGGGTACTATTGCACAATGTCGGTTAAAAATACTATTAACCAGTTAAGAGTTCTAACTATAGCATACACAACTTCAGTATATTAATTTCAAGTATCGATTTTTACAGTTTACATTAGTTGTTAAATTAGCAGCCTGGTTACTATAATAAACTTACTTGTCACTGGCTATAGGTTTATCGCCTAGTAAGTGAGTTTAACTTGTGGGTATTTACAGTCCCCTGACTAGCGCTTTGGTATTATAGAGTAGGTATATATTTGTATTAATAATAACTTCACACATCTTACACACGGCTGTCTGATCCCATATTAGGCAGAGCCTGTGGTATGGTATCCAGACCGCCAGCTGAAAACACTTATTATTAACGCTAAGCATACTTATATATTTCTAAATATATATTAAATTACACCCAGAAATAAAACGAAAGATCGTGCTCGTCACGCAATTATTTGTCCTGAGTGGGAATCGAAACCACGACCTTCGACTTAGCTGCCAGGGCAACCACTACACTAACAGGCCAGTTATTAACTCACTTGGTAAAAAACAACAAAATAATTGCACCGGTACTAGTTTAAAATATTTTCAAACTTGGTTGTCCTTGCATTTTACTAACTTAACATACCACGCCACAAATTTAATGTGTAAAACCACGGTGCTATTTACTCTGAAACTTAAACTTTTCAACAAATAAACACAACTAAAGCTGTTTAATAGAAAATAACTAAAACCACTTTTAAACCCCTATCCAAATATGGAGGAAAATTACAAATACGTTTTGAGATAGCTAAAAACTTAATTTAATATGTACGGGGCTTTTGAATAAGTGTGACACGAGTATGAAACCTTTCAGGGTAATTATGAAATTCTGAAGGTAACATTGTGAAGTGTTTGTTGGCGGTTGAAAACGGGGAAATGTTGTATAAATATGTTTTTATGCGTAAACTGCTGTAGTACTGTAAATGTTTCATTTATTTGGCCTTTGTTATTTACTTAGCTATATGAGATAATACGGATAATACCACTATCCGGCCAAATATATATTATATTTTCATCACAATTTTATGTACAAAACTATTCAGGGTACATATTACAGTATGTTCATAAGAAGATGTTAAAAGCGTCTAACGTCAACCTCGTAATAATATAAAATTATGTTTGTTTCAGAGCAATAAGGGGAACGAAGAACACTCAACACATAATTCTCATAGCAGTCGTAAAAAAAAGGTATGTTTTTGGATATAAACCGAAAAAATATATTAAGCTTTGTATAATGTTTTACTGTGGTATTACGAAATATCTAGTACAGTATAAATATCAGTTAAACTAATTTATGTACTTTTTGTACCAGATCTCATGTAGAGCCAAGCTTCTAACTCTACACTCCCTGAGTCTACAAGCCCGAAATTCACAACCTCTACACCTTAGTCAAAAATGTAGCTACCGTCATATGGACAAATTTATTCACTGTTCATTACTTTTCTATTTTACAATAGTTCTTGCAGTTATGAAACGGCCAAGCCTCATATTTTGACTAGGGTGTCGAGACTGACTTGTATTTTAGGGTTTGGTATTGTAAACACCCATAAGATTCGATGACCTGGTAAACTTGCAAAGCTACAAATAATACTAATAATAATAATTTCGTTTTGTGTTTTTTATTTTGTTTTGGGTAGTCTGACTGTCTGCTCTATCGGCTCGTCTGCCCCCTCTAACTTAAAAAATAATAATTAAAACTACTTCCACCCACACTAGGTTCTAACCTGTACGTTATGGGTGTCAGTGTTCCTCAGTTACACATTTTGCAGAGTTATACATTATGCATTAAAACAAATGCCGGGAAACCGCCAAATGTACATAATGTGATTACTGTATACAGTGTGTCTTTAAATAAAATCGTACCCCATCTAATAGAAATATAACTGGAACCCCATCGGTAAAGGAGTATGTAATATGTGGGAGGAAAGAGTCATGGTAATAAAATGTATGTTTACAACTTCGAAGAAGAGCTACGAAGCTGTCGAATTGAGTAGTCTGTAAAACGTATGACATGACTTTAAGTACGGTTGAGAGAATATTTTCGGTACATTATAAAAAGACATTTACCGACCAGGAAGGCAGATAGGTTGTACTTAGTTATGAAGTAGAACTTATTAATCATGACCTAGTAGAACATATTAGTATGATGCTAGAGTGTAGTTTGGCATATTTTGCTACGAGAATACCTTTTATGACATTTGTGAGATCGAGAGTAGATCGGAACTGAATTTTATACGAATTTCATTCATATCTTCATATTTCACATTGGCTACTGAAACAAAACTATAAACAAACAGAAGCTCTTTTGACCTATATAACATAACTCACAAACAAACACATACACACATGAACATACACATACATACACACCCACGCACCCACACACACACACATATACACAGACATACATACACACACATACATACTCTTTCACACACACTTCAATAACCAAGTCTAAACATTTCCACCAATAGCAACAATTACTACAAGACTCAAGTGAATGAGATCTCGGTTGAACACTGCCTCTTAAGATACAGGCCATGCCTAGTTTAAGAGTCAGGGATCACTACCTTCCTTTGAGACCTATACAGCTAATGTAAAAATTATGTAACTACTGTAATTATTTATGGAAATAAATAAATATTAATATTAATAATTAATTTTCATTACGAGAATTTACCTTCTATCTATGTTTGTCCCCTCGACCATAAAAAAGTAAGCCGACGGTAGCACATTATTACATTTGATATGGTCTCAATTTTTTTTAATATGTACCTTATGCCAGATACATCAGGTACGTAATGATAAAGCGAATATACATATATGAGATGAAAGCATATTTCACACAAAACCGAACGAGCACAAAAAAGCATTCCTTATATTAATATTCCCGACATTCAATGTAGGCAAGTAACATAAGCGTAAGGCAGTAATAAAATAAAAATTCAGAGTATTACTGAAAAGTGAGATGAAAAATACGATCCTCTTAATTTATTAAAAAAAACTTGAGCTTATAAGATATGAGTACAACATTTCGCAGTCGTCTTTTGAAACACAAGCAAATCCAGACAAATTTGTTGGGTTGGGCTCCTAAACATGTTATAAAAAATATGTTATGTTGTGCCTGTTTCATTCGAGCAAATACATTATTTATACCTTTGTACCTTTTGAGTTTGTGTGTTACTTAAAAAGTTTTTCCTAAGTAAAGATACGTTAGAAATTCTCTAAGTTTCCAAGGCATGTATGGGATTTTGTACCAGTTTGCGTATCTCATAATAGGGATTACTGTTGTATTTATTTGACTGGTAATATCACCAACAATTTTTTTTTATGTTAGAGGGGGCAGACGAGCAGACGGGTCACATCTGATGGAAAGTAACCATCGCCGCCCATGAACGTCTGCAACTCAGGAGTCACAAACGCGTTGCCGGCCTTTTAGAAAGGAGTTCGCTCTTTCCTTAAAATATCGTTTTTATATAATTTATATTTTATGTATGGCAAGTTCAGAAAACGTAGGAATGCGTTTTGTTAACAACGCTTACTATTGCAATTATAACAATTCTTTGAGAAGAATTTATTAGCTTTCAGCAAAGTTCTAAAAATAAGATGATTACATAAAAAAGGATGATTCACTTTATAAACGGTACAAATTTCATAATCATCCATCATATATTACTATCAGTACAGGATTTGCCATTTTCCTTTCTTCTAAATTTAAAAACTTGACAGAGAGCATTGATCCAGCGGTCCATCCATCGTGTAAAATTATTTCAGTTAACACGATAGGAGCTTTCATTAAAAAACTGGCACATTTAATATTAATGTTTTTTTTTTTATTTCGATAAGAATAATACTCGCTATTTCTAGGTAACATATCAGTTGCAAATATAAATATTGCATAACCTGCGTGTCGTTTTAGTGGTATAAGAAAGCTGACTAAAATAGGTTTAAAACATTTTTTTTTTATAAAGGACAACTCCCGCATTAGGAATACATCCAGTGGGATGTATTCCTAATGCGGGAGTTGTGTTGATTGTAAAGTCCCCCGCGACACTTCGCGGGGGACCTTACAAACACACAAAATGTTTGGTATTTTAATCATTTTTATAATATGTCTATTTATTTGATAAAAGTCATAAAACAATAGTATAATGGAGTGGGTTTGGTATTGCGGCAAGTATAAAGTGTATAGTAAGATAGTTATATATTATGGTATATAGGTCCATAACAGTCTTATAAGAATTATAAAAAAGACTTTCCATTCCCACAGTTTGAACTATGCCTATGATTACATCTCCGCTCCTGAAGCTTGTGGTGGGATGTTTTATAGCTTATAGTATTCATCAATAAATACACTGTCCAGTTTAAAAAGAATAGTACAAATCTGCTGCACTGTAAGGGTAATCTCTACGCTATAAACTCGCTCACAACGCATTTCCAAACTAACGCACTAGATAATGTAGATTGAATCATTCCCCACGATACCATAGCACTCGTGAAATAATGAGATTTCGAAATATAGGTAAATTAATCGTTGACCCGCGACGTTGAAGTGCACCAAATGACGAGTGTAACATATCCGAAACGACTTTACTCACGTAGTCAATTAAAAAAAAAGACTTAAATGGTATATTGGTTCAAACAACCTACGGAACACTCCGCTATAGTCTCCTTTTGAATCTTACACTGTCATTATATTTTAAAAACTTTATCAATTTTAACATTTCACAACTAAATTCACATTGATTTTACTCTCTCGACTAGTCAATCCAAAACTTTTCAGTGCTGATATCGCATCCTACTCACAACGCTTCTCTGCTAAGCCCAAAAGAATAAGATCGTAATCAAGTTGACTATGAATCGATACAATTAATAAGAAAGATTACTACGTTTGATTAACTATTAATATTTGATTATTAATTTATTTATGGTTTTGTGGCGACTTCGGCATACAATGATACAAAAACATAGTTCAGTGCCATCTAAAGAAGACCCACTAAGCTATAGCTATAGCTTTTTATATAATTACAAAATCTGCATCGCGCAATGAAATCTTCCGCGCCGATTAGTACGAGTAGATATACAACTTTTCAACATCAATTGTTGGGCCGCCGTCCGCCAGGCATGATCACTTCGCCAGGTTCGTGGACATGACACCCGTTCCATTCCACATGTCACACTCTTAGGTCACATTCGTTGATCCTTTTACAGAGTCATAGCAATGGAATGGGATTTTTCGTCAAAAAATACTAGGAAATGTGTAATGAATTTTTAACATCTCAGAATAAGTTACATACATTAACATAACAATAACAACGTGCATAATACACAACTAACTGTATGTAACGTTTAATATGGCACATAGTTTTTACATTATAAATATTGTCCTCATATTATAGACAGATATCTAAAAAAGAATTATATCCTTCTCAAAAAGACAGTTCACCGTCTTAATGCGTAACAGTAATTTTTGTAGAGTACGTACTTACATAATATAAAGACAAGAGAGATCAGTACCGTTTTTATGTATTTATTAACCGTGTTTTTGTTTCATAACTTTTAACAAGTTTTTTAGCTATAAGTAAAAAAGTAACAATTTTTCCTACCTTCAAGAAATATTATTGTTATCAATCATTTTTAATTACGGCCAGTTTTTTGGCCTCTAGGCCACTAGTGGCACAACGAAACAGTTCCAAATGTTTAGAAGTTGTCTAATTTTATTAAAGTTACAACAATCGACTACAAAATCAATTCTGTTTTTTTTTTTAATTTTTTACTCGAATTTAAATTATTTAATTATATAATAATTATAATAAAAAATAAATATAATTATTTATTAAAATATCTGACAGTTTTCATTGACAAGTTTTTAAGGAATTTTACGTTCTATATAATGATGTCGGTCTAGAAAATGCATTTCAGATAATCATACTTATAGGCATAACTGAATATTTTCTTAAGAATATCTCATAAACGATGTGGTAACACATCATCATCATTGTGTCGTACCTTTAATAAAAGTATGAGAGATATATATCACGCGGAAGGTGATATAATATTTCACGACCAAAGATACTTTATACCGTTCTTCTCAACTTTTAGTACGCTGCAGCATCGCGATGCGTATAGGTTATGCCTTATCTTTATATGTGGCACGTATAACCTTCCAGCGTAAACTTTAATACTCA